TATATATATATATATATATATATAATGAAACATAAATAATAGTCTTTGCTCTTTTGTGGTTTATAATGAAACATAAATAATAGTCTTTGCTCTTTTGTGGTTTATATCTATGAACATTCATTAAACATATGCATTAATTACCTTAACGCAGTGAATCCAGATTCACTACAGTGAATCCAGATTTATTACCTCACCGAACACGTCCTTCACTAATCCAGATTCACTACAGTGAATCCAGATTCATTACCTCAACGAACATGTCTTTTACTGCAGTGAATCCAGATTCACTGCAGTGAATCCAGATTCACTGCAGTGAATACCGATTCACTGCAGTGAATACAGATTTGTGTTCGTTAAGATAATTAATGCATGTAATTAATGCATGTGTCTGTTGACTGTTGGACTGACTCACAGCCATTGGATTCATCTAGATCCAATGGATGATATTGGTTTTTAGTTTTTAGGCTAATGAGGTTTTTATTAGAACCTCTCCCTATATATATATATATATATATATATATATATATACCCTTTAAAAGAGCCAGTTCCTGAAAAACTTTTCCCTCCCCAAAATAACCTTCAACCGAAATAAATATACCAACCTTATCCCTTACAACATCAGCAGAAATCAAAAGCCCTAATTCTTCCTTCCGTTCCGGCTTCTCTCCACCTTCTCTCCGCCTTCTCCTCAGCTCATCCGATCTTCCGTTACAACTTTTAAAGATGAAATCAAATCACCAGTTCATCCGTTACCCTAAATCTTCCTTCGGTTCCGCCTTCTCTCCGCCTTCTCTCAGTTCTTATGTTACGCCGTCCCACGATCTTAAGCGATAAATTTACAAAGATGATTGTTATTGCCCTAATCATCAACTCTGCGCCTCCGCCATCATCTCCTCAGTTGTCAGAATTTTGTAATCGGTAAGAATGATTTTACTTTTTTGCTCTTCATTTAATTTTGTTCTAATTAGCCATCATCTCCTTTTGTTCTAATTCAACAATAGGTCAAGGATTGTCCGAATTAGGGCTTGCTTCAAGTCTTCATATTACTCCTTCGTCAGATTCATCAGGTAAGCCATGTATTATATATGAAATAGTGATGACACAGTTTAGGATCTACCCTAAATGTTTCAGTGTCATGTCGGACTTTAGGCAACTCTGTTCATGTTCAAGCATTAATACCTATAAGTATGATTTCTGTTGATGTTCAAGCATTAATACCTATAAGTATGGTTTTATATGCTATATGATTGATCATCTTATTTAAAATTGCGACTGGGAGTTTGAATGCCATGTAATATTCTTTCTGGTTCTGGTCTCGTAGGACCTAATAGAAATTTCAATGATTTGATCAAAATATTAATGAGTTATAGGACTAATAACGAAAAACCCAAAATTGTTATACAGTCCATTTTTAGATAAGTATTATACCCAAAAGCTCAATCCCATGAACTAGGCAAAAACAATTTGTACTTGGAAATCTTTATATCGCGAAGATAAAATTCTGGTTATCAATATGCCAGTATTAAATCATATCCATGTGCACATCATGTACTCGGTTAGACCTTATATATTGTTTATGCCTTCAGTAGAGAAACAGAATGTGTTTATAAGAGTAAATTGCAGATAAAACCCCCTCATCTATACCTTCAGTAGTCCCTCAACGCTTTTATAGCACTTACCACCCCTCAATCAAGAGGAAGAGGGGGTTATCTGCGATTCAAATGTCAATCCAGGGATAATAAATGCTTATAAAAGTCTTGGAAGGGTGATGAGAGCTATTGAATATATAGATGAGGGGGTTTATGCAATTAACACATTTTTTGTAAATAGTTGTTTAAGTTACCTGCCAGGTTTTGATTCTGACTCCATTTTGAGTACCATGAAGTGTAACTGTATCCATGAAAACATTGCTGACATGGTCCCTGGAGTTATTAGCTCCTAAACTTCCAATGCTATTCACCATAATAAAACACAACTGTGTAAATATTGTGTTAAATTTGCAAGGTTTGAAACTGGTAGGAGTCAAAAGTATTGTACCTGATTCCGTGACCTAGGCCACAAAATAAGTTCATCCCTTTAACGTTTCGAGTCCCGGATACAATTGAAACACAGTCATCACCTAAATTCATAAGACATTCATATCAGGAAAAAAATTGATCAGGTAAAAGTTAGGATGAATATTGTTGACTAGATTTATTGCCTGTTCTAATTTCACAATCGCTTATGACAATATTCTGCGTGTTGGCTATATGAATTCCATCTGTATTTGGACTCTCATCTGTTGCATTTATTGATAGAGTCGAGACTCCTACATCTCTACACTTCTCAATGGACACATGAATCTGTTGGCTATCTTTTACCCTTAAATCTTCAATCCTCAAACCTTTGCAGTTGAAAAAGGTCAAAGCTTGTAAAAATAATTAAAACGTCTCATTATATGATACAACACTTTCTCTCTTACTCATGCCAAATTAACCATGAACGTACCGTTGGTGCAACTGTGCAAGGCTGAAAACACAAGAATGTTGTGGGAAAGAAAACAGGTTAGTGAGCTATCACAAAGAGATCAATAAAATCAAATTCATCGTATTGTATGGTCATCACCAGAGTTCTATTGATCTTGCAAGAATTTTGCCACCATATCTTGCCATTGCCGTTGACTGTTCCACCACCAGTGACGACAAAATTTCTCAAGTTGTGAAACATAATCCAGTGTCTAATACTCATACCATCCCAATCTGAGCGATTTGATGAAGCGTCTATTGTGCCTTTGATCTGATATAAAATTCAAAAAATTGATTATAAGAGAGTGGCTTTGAAAATTAATGTGAAGGTCTGTGTTTCTGTGTTCTTAAGCTTCCAGTTTGATCATGGATGGCCTTTTAATTTACCTGCATGATTCTTGAACAGGTCGGAGGCCGTAACACTGTTCTGTCAGATGCTCTTTATAAGAGGTTGCCTTTTGTATCCGATAAACCAACCATCATTTTTGGGGCTGATGTCACACATCCCCAGCCAGGAGAAGACTCCTCTGCTTCCATTGCTGCAGTTAGTCTCTTTCTTGTCAATCATGTTATATTATACTTATTCTTTGAATTGTGTTTTTCTAAACAAATATGTATTCATATTTTGTGTTATCAAGGTGTTTACGTTTATCTTTTGCATACATACTCTTGATTTCTCAAATGTTAAGACCAATTTCAGGTTTTATAATGATCTTTAGGTGGTGGATTTTTCATAGAAGTCTGGTTCCTTCGTAACATCATTGCTATTGTTCTTTTGGATGTTGTGAATTGGTGAGAGTTAGATCACATATTCACATGTATGTCCTTTTAACGTGCGCATTTTATTTCATGATATGTTAGGTTGTTGCATCAATGGATTGGCCTGAAGTGCGGCGGCGAGCGGCGTCGTTTCATCAAAAGTGGCGACGAGTGACGGCGAGCGACGAGCAGCGACAAACGTCGAGCTCGATCCTCTCTGCAAGTTCTCTCTTTCTCTCTCTAAGCTTCATCAAAATTAGGTATCTTTAAGATCTGCGAGGATAATGGCAGAGCTCTCTGTAAGTTCTCTCTTTCTCTCTCTAAGCTTCATCAAAATTAGGTATCTTTAAGATCTGCGAGGATAATGGCACTACCATTGCTTGCCTGCTTCAGCTCCTCTCCTGAGAATACCCCTGTGCACACCCCTACTGCTAAAGCTCCTCCATATTCAGCAGCTCGAATATCATTAGGCTGCAGTTATATGCGTCAGTCAAATTTGAAGTTTAGGGTATCCCCATGAACATTGGGGGTTTTGAACAAAACCCCTCTAAACTTCATAAATCAATGAAAACACACCTTGAATTTCTCACTTAAGTATCATGACTTCTAGCAGTCACTTGTCTTTTCTCCGGTACGAATTATCCAACAACTAATCTCTACTTTCTTCAAGTATTTGTTGTGCAACGTACTTTAAAGAGTGGGATGAAAGATGATGATGAATATGTTAAGTTAATAGCAACCAAAATGTACAAGAAATTTGAAAAATATTGGAGTGAGTACAATGTTCTACTTGCTATTGCGTGCATCTTGGATCCCCGATACAAAATGCAATTTGTAGAGTTTTGCTATCATGGGGCTATATGGACACAATTCTACGGAGCTTAAGAATGTGAAAGACAAGCTTTTCTCTCTCTTTAATGAGTACTTGAGCAATATGGATGGTAATAGAAGAAGAAACTTGGAGAAATCAAGCAAGGAGGGAACTTCTCGTGTGTATGATGACACATTTGATCAAGATTGCATTGATATCTTGAGGGTAATTTCTTTCTCAAATAATTAGTATATCTCTTAGTTTTTATTGTAGATGTCTTACAATCACATTGTAAATACCTTTCGGAAATGTTTGTTTGTTTTCTTGTGTTCTTTTGTAAACATTTTACAGTTATAAATGATTATCCATTCCATGCCTTTTATTATTCTCTCATTTGACATACAAACTGATTATGATGAATGTGGTAATTTATTCCTCGTGTTTAGGCATTAACTATCTATGTGATGAATTTTCTACCCTTAGGTTGATAGTGAGATGTATAATTTGTAATGCTTTATGACTTTGTAAAGAGAACAGTCGTTTATAGTTTCTTGTCAGCTTCTTTTCTACTACTTAAAAAATTGTAGTGAAGAAATTTGTGGAATATGCTATTAGAAAAATAGGAGGCCCTGAGATTCTATGTCCATGCCATAAATATATGAATAATAAAACTGGCTCTCTTGAGATAGTTGAGTCACTCTTGAGATAGTACATTTCAAAGCATTCTTATGAAGAGTTCGGAATTAGTCACTCAGTCTTTAGAACTGCATTATAATGCCTGTAATGCGTCCTTATTGCCATGTTCTTCTGATGGAGTTGATGACACACATCAGAGCACTTCTTCATTAGTGCAAAAAACAATACCTGCAGGAAGGTAGGCATCATCAGAAGACATATAATCATGGAAAGAGAAAGGCTTTACTAGGTACAACCAAAATTAGATGAGCTTTCCGAGGATATCATGCAATTAGATATTGGAGAATGTATGCCAACACAAGTATGAATCTCTCATACTGTGATGCGGTAGCTGAAGGTAAGAACTTGTTTCACTAAATTTAACAGTTTAGTTACCAAATTGATGTTTCATCCAAGAAGTTCACACTTCTATCATTTTACAATAGAGATTCATGCTCAGCTTTCTTTTTCTGTAAGTTTAATTAGTCTACTATATTTTAACTGATATTTTGTAGCTCAAAGTTTCCTCTTAGTTGATACATAGGCTGATATACCAATAAATAATCGATGCCTTTGTTGCTACTTGAATTCTGGGTATGTTCACAGGCAACTGTTAATTGAACTGTATACTACCTGCCATATTGCAGTTGGTTGTAGTAAGTTGTATTCTTTTCTTCTGCATTGTTCTAAAATTTTTAGTAGTCTAGAACACTTGCTTTTTCGCCAAAGTTCTTGGAATTGTGTTTGGGTGGTCAACTGCATATTTTGATATAGTTAGTTCAACAGTTCTGCATATCTTCAGGAATGCTTATGTTAATGTTTTGTTCTCTTACATGTCATGCTTCAGTATTTTCTCTTTCTTTCCTTGAACACAAATAAAAATGAAAAGTTCATGATGTATTAGGCTTATATATGCCAAAAAATTAAAATTCATTCTTTCATAACATAGAATTTTGTGTCTATGTTTTGATATTGAGATATTACTAGAAAATCATGTTGACTATGTCTTTTACTTTGCAGGTTCAGGTCATGTGTGCAATACCTATTTTGGAACAAAGCCACCCTCCCTTGATATAGTGAGGATATTCAATTTCAGTTATGAAGTATGCCGCAGGTACAGTCCAACATCCCTTTTACATGCTCTAACCGCATAACAATCGAAGAGGAAAATTATACAGAAACGAGGATATGTATTTTCCGCAGTCTACTTATTGAAGTACTGATGCTTATTGATGCATGATTCTTCAAGCACCATTTTCTGTATTATCTCTTATCTCAAAACAATGTCGCTGTTTCCTTTGAAAAGGACCCGAACGTCCAGTCTTTAGAACTGCATTATAATGCCTGTAATGCGTCCTTATTGCCATGTTCATCTGATGGAGTTGATGACACACATCAGAGCACTTCTTCCTTAGTGCAAAAAAAAAAAAAAAAACCTGCAGGAAGACATGCATCATCAGAAGACATATAATCATGGAAAGAGAAAGGCTTTACTAGGTAGAAAATTGGGATAAAGTATCTTTAAACAAGATTTTATTGACTGATTGTTACAGTGCTGCATTTTTTTTTGCTTTTCATCTTGCAGCTTGATAGTTGCTGCACCCGAAATGGATGTGGGGATTATAATTGAAGATTTGCTACCACTTTTATCATATTATGCACCTTTTGCAATTTATCATCAGTACCTTCAGGTGTGTTATGTCAACCTCAAGTTGGGAACTACAATCTCCTTTTGCTATAAGTTCAGAAAATTGCACGATTTGAATAACATGCATGTCTGCGGTGATAAGACACCATTGTTTTTCCAATGTGAATACTCGTAGCAAATTGCATTTTAACATTTTGATGGGTTCAAGTACCACTCAAATAGTCTTGAGGCTTCTATGGAGTTTGTAGATTAAAATATATAGGACTTATACATGGACAATTTTCGATTGATATCCAGTGCACATATTTGTTTGATAATTTAGATAATATGCGGACAAACTATGAGTACAGCTACAATTAAAGATTATTTGTTCAATAAAATTGATCACTGTAGACCAAATTAGTAACCTTGGAATTTGGTTGTCATAAATGTATTGATTTCTTTTGGTGATACTCTTTTTTACTTGGAATTTGGTTGTCATAAATGTATTGATTTCTTTTGGTGATACTCTTTTTTATGCATTCCGGAACATGATTTACCAGTACAAAACTTAATATTGAAAGTGCTAATGTTTATAAGTAATTTACCTGAACATTGTTACTTTAGTTAATTATGAAGAAAATATCCAACCATATATTGGTTCTTTGTTATATTGGAGCTTTGTCCTATGATATTTATATAGGACATTGAAGCATTTGGAGCAGGTTAAGGACTTCACTCCATGTGAGAGCAGCATCTACGCGTTGATGGGGAAGATTCACAAGAGGCTTAATATGCATGCTAAGGACATGTTCTACTTTGGTATTGCATTGGACCTGAAGCCTCCAGCAGCTGATGTTGCTGCTATCAAGGTACTGCATTCAGATTTTTCTGTATGGTCTGTTCTTTCCCTTTATTATATCCATTTCTTATTTCAGATGCCTAAGGTTATCTGAAATGTTGAGATCTATTAAGTTTTAAATTTATTCACGTACTTGTATGGACTAAACTATTTTCAAGTCCAAGTTAGATAAAAACTATAGGGTTTAATATGGATTTAATCATCTTCTCATCTTTTTTTAGAGAAAAAGAAGGCAAGGTGACCTATTCATTGAAAATATATTAAAATATAAAAAATTTACAAGAGGGATGCGAACAGAACTTAAAAAGTCCCATATCCAAAAGTTGATATAACAGTTATAACAGGATGGGGAGTGAACAAATTGTCGTCGTCACTCACCACAAGCTAGGATATAACAGTTGATAGTTCCCCCTTAATTTAGACGTGGAATCTTGAAGCCTTCAAACAAAAGCATCACCTGAATATCAGTCATCATAATACTTTATAGAAAAAAACCAAATAAAGCAAAAAAAAAAAAGAAGAAGAAGAAGAAGAAGAAGAAGAAGCAAGGCTTAAATTGTATTGGCTGCCGCTAAACCTTCTTCACCCTTTCTACAATTAGCAATTATTTTTTAGTTTTCCCCCTTAACTTCGAAGAGCCATGATGTAGAAGACTCTCATTTACTACCAAAAAGACTAAAAATTGCAAACAATTAATAATCATTTTTGAGCTTACCCCCTTAACTTCAAAGAGCCATGATGTAGAATTCTCTCATTTACAACTAATAAGGGGTGAGAGTATGATTCTGGACATTTTAGCCAATTATGGACACATGATTAAGCAAATTATGGGGTTTATAAAATACATTCTACTGTAGAAACAATGAAACTAAGGCAGTAAGCTATTCAAGGAATTAATTCTTCATCATTAAATGCCTGTATTTGTTGTGCTTTTTTATTTATGACCTATTAACATTTATATATAAATTTCAGTCTGCGATGGAGAAATTGCATCTCCCAGATGAATTGGAGGACAACTTATAGATTCATTTCCTCAAAACTCAGAAGGTGCAGTAAGGGCTCAATTGGCTTGGCCGCATGCTTGGGCTTTCAGACTATCTTCTGGAAAGCAAACTTTCGAGATACTATTGAAGACAGCCCATTCTTGAAGAAAGCGGCGGCTAACCTCTAACATTGTATTACTCGTCTCAAATGTAACATTAGTCATTCAGTTTAGTAGCTTTAGTGAGTCATCGAGTGAAACATTTGTACTGAGAGCATGACTGATAATGCATGTATAATGTTTGGACGCTTACATCACAGTGAAAGGAACTGCTACAGAGGAAAACAGTGCATTGTTGGTAGATGATGGCTGTTTGCCTTCTTAACTTGTAATTCTTTTACATTCTTATAAGTTTCTCTCGAACGGTCAATTGTGTTCAATTTAATTTAAATCTAATCGGTATTGTTTTCTGCAACGAGAATTCACTTATGATAAATTAATGTGAGCCCTTAACCAGCTTACAAATTTGCATTGGCCCCCCAATCAATCAATAAATGTAATTTAATTGTTTAAATGTTGAATGTTTAGATTATGTCTATATGTTTTATCCATTACTTACATTCCATAATTTTATAACAAAACATTATAAATAAAAGTATAAATTTAAAACAAAAAATGAAAACTTTACCACGTGCATTGCACGTGCAATCCAACTAGTAGTAATACTACATACTATATATATATACTATATCATATATATACCTATACGATATATATATATATATATATATATACTATATATATATATAGTATATATATATATATATATAATATAATAATATATATATATATATATATATATGAGAACAAGGAAAACTTCAGTACCAACGGTTGTTCCAAGCAGACTTGGTAGTGATGTGGCAAATCATGCCCCCCTATATCACACCTCGAAGATAGCAGCCTCAACCACCCTTCACCACTCCTAATGTAGATTGTAGGATAAGTTACAGTGCCACATCACTACAAGTTGCCTTGCGAGCAAAGCTTCGTACCAAGTTTCTCCATTTCTCTCTCTCTCTCTCGTCTCTCTCTCTCGTATATATATATGATATATATATATATATATATATATACTATATATTATATATATATATATATGATATACCATATTATATTATATATCATAGCATGCCTTCAAAGCAACTGATAGTGACTGTACCTGAAATCTTGTCCCTATAATCTACATTGGAGTTGTGAATGTGCGTTGGGCTCTATCTTCGAGGATTGTGATGTAGGGGCAAGATTAGCCACGATCACTACCAAGTGTTCTTAAGCAACTTGCCGCGCGTACAAGTTACTCCATTTCTCTCTATATATATATATATTATTATATATATACTATAAATATATATATATATATATATATAATATATATATAAATATTATAGTATATATTATATATAAGTAAATTATTATATATTGGGTATGCTTGGTACCAACCATAAATTTTGTGCTTGGTAGTGAGGTGACACAATCCCCTCCACTCATTCAAATGAGGGACCATATTCACATGAGTTGAGGAGTGCATGAGGATATACAACCATTTGAATGAGTGAAGGAGATTATGACACCTCACTATCAAACACAACTTTTTGTGCTTGGTACCAAGTATACCCATTTCTCTCTCTCTCATATATATATATAGAGTCCATTTCTAGTACGCATAAATGCGTCCGCATTCCGCCTCCGTGTGTTTTCAAGTGAGCTGCAAGGGGTTTTTTTTGCAAAAAATCTAGCGATTTGACCCCAACCCCTCTCTCTCGTGACCCCAACTCCCTTCACCCCAATCCAGAAACCACTCTCCCCTGGATTGATCCCAACTCCCTCCCTCTCCCTCTCTCGCTCGTGACGCGAAGCCCCGTCGCTGACCAACTCCGACCCTAACTCCCTCCCTCTCACTCTCTCGCTCGTGACCCCAAGCCCCGCCGCCGACCAACTCCGACTCTGACCTCCTCCGCCATTAAGCTCATCCTCCTCCTCCGCCATTAAGCTCCTCCTCCTCAGGTAGAGAGTAGCTTACCCTTATACCATACGACCATTCTCCCGGTCCTCTTGCCCTCAACAGAGCCAGATTATACGCACTACTGTAGCCCTGGCACTGTAAGTGAGTCAAATTAATCGATCGGATTGCACCAAACTCCAATGAACAGCACTCTGGTGGGCTAACAGATTCATATGCCAAGTCAGCTTTCCGATAGCATTCTCAATGAATAGATTCACATACCAAGTACCAACCCTGGTTCAAAATTGTACATAAATGAGGGAAAAAAAAGAATCTTCAGTAGCATTCTCAATACAATGATCTCAGCCAATGCACGTTAAGTTCATCTAAAACTGCAGACCCGACATCCCTGCTTAGCATAGTATCAACTTGATTAGTAGTCACAGTAAGAGGAACACAAGTCATAAATTACATAAGATGCAGAAAGGAATCAAATTTTTTTTGAAAATAATAATAATAAGACCCTTCTTATTTCACTCGAAAAGAAGGGGTGCAATATTACATGGATCAGTCTCCTGACAAGTAAATAACAGTTAACTGGCATACAATTGGCCTTTGCCCTCTAGGCTCCATCAAGACTTAAATTGTTGAAGCAGTCACTGATTTTATCAACCACAAAAAGACCTTACAAGGACGAACAAGTATGACCATGTTTTGGTGAATTGATTGAGAGGTATTTGTAGGTGCACAATAGTACATCTAACTGGAGAATCTTGCTATTTCTGCAAGTTGTTTGTTGGCGAGGAACCAGACTTACAATGAGGAGCATTCATCAAAGATCTTCCCTTTTTGCTTCCACATGTTGAAATCCGGTATCCTAAACTACGATTTTTCTTTCTGAAGGTTTGTTTCCAGCCTCTTTATTGCAGCGCCAACTCCACTCATCTCCTCTGCTTCATTCGAGTCGGATGATAATTTAGCACTTGCAATCCCTTCATTTGCCTTCTGTTCAAGTTTTAACTGTACCCAACCTATATCCCGAAGTGAGTTCCCCTTTGCCGAAATCTGACGATTTAAGGGAGGGGAAGAGTGCTTAATGGCGGCGGAGGAGGAGGAGCTTAATGGCGGAGGAGGAGGATGAGCTTAATGGCGGAGGGCTTAATGGCGGAGGAGGTCGGAGTCGGAGTTGGTCGGCGGTGGGTCACGAGTGAGAGAGTGAGAGGGAGGGAGAGAGTGAGAGGGAGGGAGTTGGGGTCGGAGTTGGTCAGAGACGGGGCTTCGCGTCATGAGCGAGAGAGGGAGAGGGAGGGAGTTGGGGTGGAGGCGAAGTTGGTCGGCGGTGGTGCTTGGGGTCACAAGCGAGAGAGGGAGAGGGAGGGAGTTGGGATCAATCTAGGGGAGAGTGGTTTCTAGATTGGGGTGAAGGGAGTTGGGGTCATGAGAGAGAGGAGTTAGGGTCAAATCGCTAGATTTTTTTAAAAAAACCCCTTGCAGCTCACTTGAAAACACACGGAGGCGGAATGCGTACACATTTATGCTTGCATGTTTGGCTATTTCCACGAAAAAAACGGAAATGGAAAACCCTCTTTGGAAATGATTTCAACACATATCAAGAGGTTTCCCAGTTTTCTTTTATTTTGTTTGTTTCGCAAAGAAACCTCCCCTTTTCACTGCCAAGTCACACAAAAAAAAAGCCTCCATAGTAACAGTGCTTTTGATTTCCATTTCTTTAGTTTGTTTGACAAGAAGAAAAAGAAAAAGAGAAATGACCCATTAAAAAAGAAATTTATTCATCATGATACTCTCCAATAGTGCATTTATTAATTAAAAACTCATTGATGTGATATTTCCAAGTGTTTTCACAGCTTTTTGTTGTGAAAACACATTTCTTGAAATGTGACATGGCATCCTTGGTGGCATCCACATTTCCTTAAATAAAAAAATAAAACAAACATGTGAAATGGAAATGTGTTGAAACCAAAAGCTGATGTGGATGGGGGGAT